GATGGAGATATCGATGTAACATAAAACAAATAATAAATAAACGTTTGATTGACTAGTAAATCTGAATCTATTCAATCAAAAATATTTTTTTTTACTTTTAATTTTCATATCAAAGTGGGTGGTCCTTAACTTTTGAGTAAGTGTATATAATTTTTCCCACGATTTTGTCATTGTAGTATTGCTACTTTAACATGTTTTAAAAAAATTGAGGTATCTTAACAGGCATTTGTGCAAGATACCAGAGGGTAGTGTTTCTTATATAATCCTTTTGGGAAAAAGAACTTAATTTGCCAATATCAATTTTTTTAGTGTTTCGATATTTTGAAGACATTTAGAAACTGGTTTAGAAATCAGAAGGTAATTAAAATTTTGAATATTTTTCATGCATTACAAAAATTTACAAAACCGATATTTTAGGAACATATCGTCTGACCTTAAAAGCTTATAATTTACACATCTTCTGGGAACATAGGGTCATTAAGCAGTGAGAGATCTAGGGCGTGCAAACGCTTGTCGCGACAAAGGGTCTCGGATTTTTTATAGTCTCATCCGTAATGACACACCATTTAACTCCGCCTGACGTCAATGGCCTGTCCTGCATGGTTTCAAAATTGAATTTGCCTCTATGTTTTCCTTTATTTTCGCTCCTGACAGTAACCTTGACCTAAAATTTAGCCTCTAAAAAAATGTTAGCCACAAGTAATGGATTTTTCCCTTAGAATCTTAATTGATTTCATGAATTATTTTCTTTTTTAAATTGGCTTCACTTTTTCAACCGTATTTCAGTAAAATGATAATAATTCTATTGTTTTGTTAATGTACGGATTAAAATTGTCATGTATCTGACTGATTTTATTGCTTATCTATTGATCAGCTGACTGATACACTAATTTCTTCCAAAGTAATTTGTTTTACCTTCCGAAAACATGAACTAGTATATATATATATATATATATATATATATATATATATATATATATATATATATATATATATATATATATATATATATATATATAACAGAAAATAAAAACATTGATTTATTTTGGTGAAAAATTAACATACCAAATAATTGTGATTAAATATTCATGTTTTTAAAAGGTGTGAACATCTTTGTTCAATAATTATTATTTGTTTCTACACGCGTACTGTGATTTTCTTAACAGTTCAGAAATGACTATCGCGTAAGAATTGTCAATATTTGTTGATACTACTCAGAAAAAAATTATCATCAATTTCAACTGCCTTCTATAGTAACTTTCTTTATTGGTAATCTCATTCTGAGTAAGCTCCGCCCTTTAAATTAATTAACCACGCCTGCTGGGACTGCTTTCTGTCACCGCTGGGACTGCTGGGACTGCTCTGGGACCGCTTTGGGACCCCTGTGGGACTGCATTAACAGTTCCAGAAAGCAGTCCCCGTGACTGCTCTGGAACTGCTTTGTGTCAGGTGGGGTCTGGTTGGTACTGTTCACTACTGCAACAAGATAAGCGAGTAATCATTGTAAGAATTTAGAAAGTAAAATTCATTACGAAGTTAAGAAAATGGCAGAAACCAAGCTAAAACAATCTGCAAATATCAAGTTTGAAATACCAAATACTGAAGGAAAAAAAAACAAGAAATAATGCAAAATCTTCAGAATGTGAAGGAAGTTTTGGTCAGTAAGTTAGGGAGACCTGTCAACAACATAGATATAATGGAATCATTGCTGGACACCTGGAAAAAAATCCCAAGAAACAAGTAATAGAGATGATTTCAAATCACCGGGAACTTACACCAAACTAAAGAAGAGTCAAGTGAAGCAGGACTTTTTGTGACTTCAATGCAATCTAACAGGAAACTGATGGATATTTCAGCAACCCGTAGGAAGTACTGCAGAGGAATTCTAGAAATCAAAAAAGTCAGTAAGAGAAGTCATGTGCATTCATTGAAATTAACCTGAACCCGGGGCGACAGAGGAAATCATTCCTACATTTGGGCATCATCTCCTTGCTTAACCAATTGAAATACCTTGTTAATGAAAAAAATATAAACCATGCATTTCTATGCAGCGGGATGTTACCTTCTCATTATGCAAGATTTTGTAATGCCGCAGTACTTGGAATTCTTTCCGTGGAGAAACGAGATGCATTTTTCAAAATGTATAAACAGTTTTACAAGAAGAATATGAGGACTCATGCACAACTGCTATTTTAGAAGAAGTTGGGGTATATGAAAACTTGTATGGAATAGACATAATAACTGATGCGCGGTATGGCTGGAGAAAAAGTGCACAAGACACTAGTGTTGTTGCCACTGGGGAAAGATCCCATAAAGTACTTAATTGTGCCCATGTCACAAAAGCAGGGGAACCTGTTTCCCAAAGACATGAGATAGTTGGAACAGAAAATTTATGAAGATTTTGACAACAGGGACATTTCTGTGTCGTGCATACCCATGATAGGAATACTGTATACAGGGTTATTTTCGCCCTCTCACTCTTGCAAAAAATTTTGCCCCATTTAAATTCGCCCATGACATAATTCTGTTTAACAAATTATACTGTGATTTCTTGAATTCGCCCCGTTTTAATTTCGCCCTCTTGTGTGTAGGGCGAAAGGGGCGAAAATAAAACGGTGGCGAAAATTTCCCTGTATACAGTATGGCCATCAACAAATTTGTGCGGGAACGAGAACATGGATTGACATGTAATCAAAATGATCTTTAACATGGCATCAAAAGTGTTAAAAATGCCTTGACTGCTATCTCAAGTGGACCAAAATATCGGCGATTTTTTATTACAATTTTTTTTTTCAGGATGGCGATTCTTTTTAGTACTTTACTAATATCGGACAAATGTAATTATGGTTATTAACTACGTTTTGAGGACGATTAGATTTTCTATTTAGACCTGTCACGTGATGTGGCAGTCACTTGATTTTTGCACATATACTTGCAGTATTGAGATCACATATAAATTCCAATAGTGCAAGGGCATAACCAAGTTAAAATTCGAAGTTTAATTTTTAAATAGTTTCAACACCCATTGTAATTTGTGAAGAGTGCTGCGATCCTATATATATTCTACAATTTCATTGTTTAAATCATATTTATATGAACGCACACAGAATTTTTTGCTGGTCAGCTTCATTAAATATAGAAATAATTAATTCAGTTTCAAGATTTCAACAGGATCGCAGCACTTTTCAAATAGCTTAATACCTCTAGAGTTTATCATTAAAAACTTGTCATAATCCATTGACTGTATGCCATTGCACTAGATCGATTTATTACGACCATTAGATTATCCTCCAATGTACCTGCATACAAATATACGGCAGTATCCGTTAAATAGGAAATGTACGGAAAATATATGAACAAAATCAGAAAAAGGACATTGTATCTAAATTAATTGCCTCTTAAAAATCTGCAAATAATATTTTGTTTAATTATGAAATACATTTCTTCGTTGTGAAAATATTACTTGATCCGCCGCTCACTGCATACAAACTACATCAAGTTTTACAGAATGACGTCATATCGACAAGTGCAGTGCGATCAGTAACTTGTTTAAACCTTGCTATGTGGGATCTAACTTACGACAAAAATGCGTGTTTAAAATCGCAAATCACTTCATTTTTTGGTATTTTTTAGGATTGTTAGTTTCGTGTGATGTCATAGTTAATATTTCCCGTAAAATTTAGGCTCCACCTCCTTTTTGTAGCCTTACATGTAACTGTGCTGCGTTGCAACATTTATCTTTAAATGTTTTAAAAAACGTTTAAAAAAAACATAAAAAAATCACGTGAAACATTTTCGAACATGTTCTTCTTACATTTTCAGAAAATGTTCTGATAAAATATGCTGAAATATTTTGCTAAAATGTTTTAAAAACGTTTTAAAAAACAAGTTCTTCTGTACATGAATTATAGACTTCAAAGGTTTATCCAATAGAAAATACGACCTGGCAAGACATTTATATATTTTTTTCAAAACAAAGTTGCATAAACTTATACAAGAGACCTTGGATAACACCAATAACACGATTGTGGGTCTTAATGAGTCATTTTATCAGGTCTGTATGAGCTTCTGTTTTTTTTCTTTAGAAAGTTACCGAAAGTCCATCGACAGACAAACATGAATGCACAGACTGTCAAAAAGACAGACTGGCAATAAGATTCCTATATCATGTATATATACATACTTGTCCCAAACGTTGGTCATGAGCTTACAATCACATATATCAACTAACAAATCAAATTTCTGTTTTGGCAATCATTCCATTTCTGCGCATGCCTTCTTCGACATATTTAAGTTTTACTTAATCAATGAATCCAATACCTTAGATAACTCTGGCAGGCATTTAAATCATGTTATCTTAGTGTAGGTAAAAATCTAGAACCGAGACAAGAAAGTTGTTTGTTTATATACTAGATACTCGTTGTTAAGGAAGCCATCTTAGAATTTCAGGTGAGACCCTAGAGCAAAATTAAGTTTAATTTATTTGTTGGAACCTGATTCTTTGATCCACTTAAATTAGTTCAAAGTCTAATACTTATATCCTTATATTGCGATTGATAATTTGTACAAGGCTTGAAGTCATGAAGAATAGGAGGATTGTCAAGTGGAATTCTTTAAAAACGTAGATTCGGTACCTCAAAATTTTAACATAGCAAATTAATGAAAATGAAACATTGTGCTTAACATATTTTATTGAATACCAATAAGATTCGAAACAAGTTTTTACAAGTTAAAAAAAAATCATTTCCCTGTAATTTATGACTGTCAAATGAAAAGAAACATTAATCAGTTTTGTAAGCAGGTGATGTAAATAGTGACATGTAACAACAATTTGGTCTTTAATCAGCCAAGTTTTAAACTTGCAGCTCATACAATGTAATATTATTATATTCAAAAACATGAAAAAAAATAGCCCCTACTAAAATAAGTGATTTCACTGAAGTAATACTCCATAACTTTTTTAACAGCATCATCTTTTTTATGCAACTAAGAGACTTATAATGGACCTCCTGGATAGAGCGCAAGTACTCCTTCTCTGTGACTTGTGTAAGGAAAATGCATTACAGAGTCATTGTGAACTTTGCCAGATTAACCTATGTAAAGACTGCGTTGGGGAGCATCTCTCTGTTTCATCCAAAAGACACAATGTTGTACCTTATAAACAAACAATTTTTGCTCCCGACAACCCAATATGTCTAAACCACACCCAGAAATATTGTGAACTTTACTGTGAGAGATGTTACATTCCTGTCTGTTCTACCTGCATCGCCTCCGGTGAACATAAAGGACATGATTTATCAGACAATCTGCACAAACTGAGTTTTAAAACAAAATATTTAGAAAATGATTTGAGAGAACTAGAAAAAAGAATTTATCCTATATATGAAGAAATTGAATTAAATTTAGATTTCGAAAAATCAAACGTGGAAAAACATTACGAGAAACTGACAACAGATGTGATCAAACAAGGAGAAGATTGGCACAGGGAAATTAATATCATTGTTAACAAACAAAAATCTGAAATTGATGAGATGAAAACCAAACACCTAGCTGCTCTAAATAAACAAGAAAAAGAAATTAAGCAGATTACTTCTGATGTAGAACAAAGCATTCTTGATCTGAAGAAAATACTATACATCAATGATTTCCCACTATCCACTGCAGAATACAAATCCAGGAATGCTGAATTCAGAAGTTTACCTCCTAAAATCAGTGTATCCTTACCAAGATTCTCTCCATATCACATCAACACAGAACAGCTTCTTCAAATGTTTGGTTCTCTGTCGGTTTTATCTCTTACAACAGAAGAACATTGTTACACAATGGAGACTCCAGAAGCTGTATCCTGTTCTTCAGTCAAACAGCTGCTTGATGAATCAGAGCTCATCACCAACATAGATACTGAGTATGAAGATCTATACAATGTTACCTGTCTCAGTAATGAAGAAATCTGGACATATGGAGACGAAAAAGTCATGAAACTCTATAACCTCCAGGGCAGACTACTGAAGGCAATCGAAACCAAGTCAGGTACCAATCCACGTGACATAGCAGTGACAAGGAGTGGCAATCTAGTTTATACTGATGAAAGTACAAGAACTGTAAACTTAGTGAAGAATAAACAGATACAGGAAATGATCAGACTACAGGGGTGGATACCTTGCTATGTCTGTAGTACCATCTCTGGTGATCTTCTGGTTTCCATGAATAATGATAATTCCAATATACAATCGAAAGTTGTCCGTTACTCTGGCTCCACAGAAAAACAAATCATTGAATTTGATAATAATGGTAAACCTCTGTATTCATCTGGTTCCTTGAAATGCATGTACATAAGTGAGAACAGGAACCTGGATATCTGTGTTGCTGACAATAGAGCCCGTACAGTAGTGGTTGTTAATCGTTTGGGAAAACTCCGTTTCAGATACACTGGTCATCTCTATTCTACCAAGAAATTCATTCCTTGCGGCATCACCACAGACAGCCAGCTCCAGATCCTGACAGCAGACTATAAAAACAACTGCATCCATATCATAGATCAGGATGGACAGTTCCTCTGTTACCTTGATAACTGCGATCTATATGATCCATGGGGTTTATGTATAGACACCAATGACAACCTCTTTGTGGCAGAGCATCAGGGTAATGTGAAGAAAATCAAATACATGTAGAAAACCTAATAACCAAGCACTGAGAGTTGGGTAAACATGCATGTTTGTAACTAAAACACCAGCCAGATTTTACAACATAAATTGCTTTGTGAAATGAAATATAAACATTTTGTCTAACTTTGTTGCCACACATTTTGCACAGGAAATAAAGGTACACGTATCGAAAGGAAATCTAAAGGAAACAACTCTGTAGCTTCGCAATAATTGTTGCTATAATAAATTTATATCCTGTAAAAATACATGACTGTGTCTTTATTAATCAAGGAATTGATTAAAATGAATTATTCGAAAATTCCACAAGTAAAGATGTTCAACATATTTGTAGAGATGACTTACAATTTCAGTTTTTAAATTTTAAACTGAAGTCAGGTTAAAACTTTCACTAAAATGTACTGTCAAAAAGATAAAATATATACGGTTGAACCTTGGTTTCTCGAAGTATTTAGCCCTTTATATTTTTTATCCTTGGATATCTAGAAGCTTTTGCTCGGTCCCAACATGTTTGAGATAACAAAGTTTAAATGTATATACATATCTAATGTAAGACACCTGAGCACAGTGGCAAGGAAGAAATCAGAAATCACCTCAATATTGAAAAATTTAAATACGTAAGTGGTCTCAACCTATCCCTGGGAGGGGGGGGGGGTTGGCATGATTTGAACAAACTTGCATCTTCACTTACTGGTCATGAAGATGATCCCATATTTTTTTGACTAATCATGGCTTTAGAAATTTTTTAAAGATTTTTCCCTATAAGTTTGAACATTCATTGAGGCCGCACTCTACCCCCTTCGGCTCAGGTGAGCTAAAAAATGTAAAATGCACGGAAAACCCCACATGATGATAACTGAATATTAATCATGCTTATATGACAAATAATAAATCATGGCCTTACTTTTCTTCAGAAGTAGATAATTTAATGACTCTTCAGAAAAATATTTCCTATTGTGGTCCCACCTTTTCTGTCTCCTGAGTTACAACCTTACTAAACATGACAGGAACTGTAGACAGGGTCTGTACTGTTACACCTCATCAACAGAAAGTAAAGTTGATAAATGTTACATACAGTACACTTACAATAGTTAATTTCAACCTTCAAGGACTATATATGATAAAAATAAATTTTGGCCTCCATAAACCAATATTTTTAAAAAGTGATTAAGATACGTTAAATTGTTGTTTAATTTTGCAAAAGAGTTAATATTAGAGACATTTTCAATACATTTGTCTCATTTATATGCATTCACTGGCTGTAAATGACGTCATAATTGGTGCTATTACTGCAGTCTTATCAAACAATTTAAAAAAAATGTACTTTTTTCTATATATGCTTTTTCTTCTATAGAAACATAGAGCGCAGCTTAGAACAAGCAACATTTTTTGTCATTAATTATTCGTGGATATATACATCTTAAGTGAAAATATAACTTTTTTTTCAAGTCTGCGCTCAATATTTTTTGGAAGATTAATTATCTGAAAATAAGCATTTTTTACAAAAAATATCAAAATGGCGGGAAGAGGTGAATTTCAGGATGTCATAGTTCTAAATTAATGGCATTTTGATAAAAGTTTAAAACACGGATAAACTTCACGAGTATAGCTGTGCACAGTAAAAATATATATAAAATAAAATTAAGGCATTCATTTTAAGGGGCAATTTGAAACACTATTCATAATTATATAAACAGAGAGTAAAATTGATAAGTATTACACATGCATACTTAACTTTCACCATGTTCACTTCAAGGTAAAAAAAAGATTGTTGGAAGACTTGATCTCGAAAAACTACATAGATATTGTCAATCAGAAACTCAAGCATCTTTTAGATATCAACTTCAGAGTACTTGTACAGTCAGAAATAATTTTGCAAATGAACAATTACAAGTTAGTATATTTACAAGTTCCATTTTTATTGAAAAAAAACAGCTGTCTATGATACAAAAAAGCCTGGATTTCAATATATCGTGTGGAATTGTTGTATAAAGTATTGAAAAGTCGTACATTGATTTTAGTAAAATTTTGTGATTTCAAATTTTCTACAAAGTCCTTGGAGTTTTTAAGTATCCAGATCTGATTTACACCAATTCTCGAATATACTGTTGTACAGTACTCCTGAAGTTCCTCCTTCGTTACAGTAAATATTTTAGTGAAGAGTAAAGAAAGAGGCTTGGTAGAACATTTACTGGAACCCGCTATGTATCTTTGTTTGTAAGGATTTTTATGAAATTTAGGAATCAAGTAAAGGTATGGTAATTCAAATTCATTTAGATTGTTGGGAATATTAGAAAATATTTTTTAAGAAAATGACTTACTGTTTTAGGTCATTGCAAGATTTGGAATACTTTTGGGGCGTGGCTTGCATTATTTTTTTTTTTAAAAGAAATGATTCATGAACGGTACGGTTCGTTTTGTGAAGTTACGGTTCGTTTGTGTACACGGTTCGTGAAGGGTTCTTTTCTTTTCGTGAACAGTACGGTGGGTTTTTTGAACATTTTTTTGTGCACGATTCGTTTCGTTCTCTGTACGGTACGGTTCGCTTCTTGAACGGAACGCTTATGAGAGTGAAAATATCTCGAACGGGACGAGAACTAAAAAAAACATATAATCAATGAATTAATCAATCCATGCTTCATGTGACATGTTTATATGTAAGAGGAATGGATTATTTCCATATATGAAAGTCAAGAAATAACTAAAAGTTTCTGTAAATATACTTCATATTTCTGACCAGTAAGACTGAAAACACCTTCGATGGAATATAAAGAGATCTCGTGTTTTTGCTTTTTCCTAAAAAAAAATGAAACAAAGACTTTAAAAGTAATTAAGATATACATTTTGGAAGAATGTTATTCTTGGGCAACAAAACTTGACAAAGAAACAAAACTTCTATCCTTCCTTTTTCTCGTAAACAAAAATCGGAAAGGCTAGATGAACATTATGTTTTGATTTCACCTTTTATACTCTTCTAAGAACAAATACGGTCTCATTTTGTAAGGCTCATTATTACAATTCTGCTATTTTGGTTGGAGCACTTGGTTATAATTCCACATCTGGTAATCCAACTAATACTCATACTTCTTTTCCAAGCATGAAATCTCAGTCTTTTAAAAATGAGCTCAATGAAATGCAACTAAAAAATCCTTAGAAACAAATACATTGCAGTGTTCAGCAAAGTTTCTACCAAGTCTGACTGGCATTAATTTTGAAAAAAGAAATGAACTGTTATGAATCTTGTACTTGCATGGTCACCTCCAAAATTACTTTCTACACGCACATACTCTGAGGTTGATATAAGATGCTGGAGATTATCAGTGATATTATCTATGATGTCTTTGGAAACGAGGTTTTCCAACAATGTATTGTAATTCCCAGGGGCACCTATTGTGCCCCTCTATTAACCGACCTTGTTTATTAATATAAAGCAGAATACATGTATATTCGAAAACTGCAACACAAGATGAAAGTAATTTTTGCTGCAGCCTTTAATTCGACATTTAGATATAAAGACGAGGTTTTAGCAATTAATAATGTATATAATAGTTATTTTCTTTCGTTTGTCGACTCGAGATATCCCAGTAAACTTGAAATAATACACAACTGTGGGCGAATTAAAAACAAGAGGCCCAAGGGCGTTGAATCCCTCTTCTGATAAACTGTACAACCTATCACTTCCATTTGAAGCCTCTAAGTATCATGTATATTTAGATAAAGCGTTGAAATTCCAAAGGTAGATCATCATGACCTACATTTTAGATGAAACACTCTAAGAACCCAAGATGATTCTAAGCCAATTAGTACCTGAGAGTAGGTCATCATGACCTACTTATCACTTTTCATTCTCTGAGGACCAAAGATGCATCAACTACGTTTGATGATTCTAAGCCAATTAATACCTAAAATATTTTTAAAATTACAACCATAAAATTTCACAGTGACCTACTTTTCAGATGACAGACTTTGAGGACCCAAGATGCATCAACTGACAAAGTTTGGTGATTCTAAGCCAATTAGTACCTAAAAATATTGAAATAAAGCAATAAATTTCAAACGTAGGTCACAGTGGCCTACTTTTCAGTTGTTGTACTCCTAGGACAAGATGCATCAATTGACAAATTTTGATGATTCTAAGCCAATTAGTACCTGAAATATTTAATTAAAGCTATACATTTTCAAAAGTAGGTCACAGTGACCTACTTTTCAGTTGTACTCTGAGGACTCATGATGCATCAACTGACAAAGTTGATGATTCTAAGCCAATTAGTACCTGAAATATTTAATTAAAGCCATAATTTTTCAAAAGTAGGTCACGGTGACCTACTTTTCAGTTGACCTACTCCGAAGACCCAAGATGCATCAACTGACAAAGTTTAATGATTCTAAGCCAATTAGTACCCGAAATATTTAATTATAGCCATATAAATTCAATAGTAGGTCAGAATGACGTACTTTTCAGTCGAACTACTCCGAGGACCCAAGATACATCAACTTACAAATTTTGATGATTGTAAGCCAAATAGTACCCTAAATATTTAAATATAGCCATAAAATTTCAAAAGTAGGTCACAGTGACCTACTTTTCAGTTGACGTTCTTCGAGAACACAAGATGCATCATATTACAAAGTTTTATTATCATAAGCCTTAAAATGTCCAAATTATGCCTGTTAAACACTTTGAAATTGAATGCCTGCAAAGTTCAAAAAGTAGGTCACTGTGACCTACTTTTTAATAAATATATTTTATGGCCCAAAGATGCATCGTCTTACAAGATTTAATGATTCTTAACCTCTCGGTATTCGAATTAATGACCTTAGTTGTTTAGAAAATGATTAGCCATAAAATTCAAAAAATAGGTCAAGGTGACCTACTTTTTAGTTGACGTACTTTAAGGACCCAAGATACATCAACAGACAAAGTTTGATGATCATAAGCCTTATATTGTTCAAAATATGCCTCTAAATCATTTTGAAAAAGAATGACCTCATAATTTTAAAGGTAGGTC